ATAGTTTTATTGCTTAGGTGTTTTTATTATAGAGGTGTCAAAGTAAAGACTTTGTTGTGAAAATCTTTTAAAATTTTCGTAGAAGGGCTAGGATTATGCCAATTAGAAATTCGTCCTTTATAACATTTTTCTCTTTACAATATAAGCTATAAAAATTTATTATACGGCTGCTAGGCTTTTATTTACGCTTTGTAACATATTGTAATTTATTTAGAGAAAAAGTTTAGAGAAAAATTTTTTCCTTGTAACGAATCTAATTTCTAGGTGATTCTAGATGTTTTTGCGCGTAATTTTTAGTAAGTTGAACAAGATTGAACATGAAAAATCACTATTTTTCCTGTTATTTAGTTGTCTATGCAAACTTTTCCCCCACTTTTCTTTATATTTCGATATATAAGCAGCGCGAGAAGATACGAATCCTTCATTCTCTACATGTGGGATTGCAAGCAACAAACGAAGGTTTTTTCGCACCAATTGTTAAATTAACGGGCAATTATGCGGACGGAATTTGTCTCGATACCGACACCTGGCAGCAATTTCAACTCAACATGGAACAGATGGGACTGTACTTGAGTGAGAATCAAAAAACCAAACCAAGTCCGATTATCATCAACAATATTTCCATCGGCTTCACCACCGCTTACAGGACGAGGGCTGTGATAGTGGCTTACAAGGAAAATGTGGAACAATCCGCGAGTAATGGAGAGACGGAGGAGCAAGCGCAGCCGCCCTTGAAGAAACGAAAAACCCACAGTGTCGCTATCGTGTTGCAGAAAGAAACTTTTCTCGGCATGGAAAATATTACAAGATGTGTGGATGCTCGATTGTCGCAGCCATTTTCCATCACCGACACCGTCAACACCTGCGCCAATTACTTAATGAACGAGATAGAATTAAAACTCCCATCAGCTTACATAGATCGTGAAATTATAAAACTCATAGTTAGTGGTAATTTTCAAGAAATTGAACGCAATGTACAAACGCAAATAAAGGATTTAACATTTTTAGATGTATATTTCAATATTGTATTCGAAGAATTAATTTCACTAGGATTTAATGAAATTGTGCGTATAATTTTAAAACGCAATTGTTAATTTTACGAAAAAAGTAAAATTTATTATCAATAAACATGAAATTTTTTCCAACTTTGAAATTACACGTAATCGGCAAATCGTTCATTTCGCAAAATGGATGTACGGTGGAAACATCCTTGGACGTCGATCGTCTGCGGGCCTACGGGATGCGGAAAAACAGTTTTCGTGAAAACGTTTCTTCGTCATTTATCCGTCATGTCAGATGTTCGATTCGAGAGAATTTTATTTTATTACGCCGAGTGGCAAGATGCGTATCAACGTTTACAATGCGCCGCGAGTGAAAAAGAAGAAGAAGAGAAAAGAACACAAAAAACCGGTTACGATAATAATGCTTTGATAAAATCGAAGAAAAATATCATCGAATTTCGCGAGGGGTTTCCGCGCGCGGAAGATTATTCCATTGATGCGCTTTCGCCAAAATTAATAATAATTGACGATCTTATGAGGTAAAGTATAACGATTATTCTACAACTAATATCAGAAGTGGGATTCACTACATCCTCAAAGTAATCAAGAATGGATCCTCTCCAATTTGATAAAATGTCGACGGAGAAACTGAAAGCGGAAACACGCCGCTACAGATTTCCTTCAACAGACGATCGAAATAAAATGATCGAGCAACTCTTGGCTCATTACGAGAGTAACAGCCCGACAGTTGACCTACTTAGTCAAAGACAGACCACTCAGGCTCAGGAAGAACATACAGGAGTCGCGATTAACGCGTTGGCGACCGCGATTACCACCCAGATGCAGCAAATGCAGCAGGCCATGCTACAACAGCATCTACAGCAGCAGGAGCTGCTCCGACAATTGCTACAACCCCTTACGAGGAACCAACAGCAGGATCAGGCAAATCAAGGATCGTCGTATCAATCGAGACAGCCGAGGTCAGAAGCCCCATCTCCTTCGAGTCAGGGTCAATCACAGCATTCGGCGATATCGGCTGCACCATCTACACACGCCGTCTCGATGTTGGCATCACAAATTCCGGAGTTCGGAGGCCAAGAAGACGAAAACGTGGACCTATGGGTTAAACGTGTCGAGCAAGTATCACGCATTCACGGCGCACACGAGGATATTACGTTCCTTGCATCGACGACAAGGTTAGTCAAAACGGCCCGACGCTGGTACGATCTGGGTTCGGGTTCAATGTTAGAGTCCTGGACAGGCTTCCGGGAAGCCATTCTTAAAAGATTTACGAGAAAAATCTTATACCATCTGGCCATACAAAAAATCGAGGCCCGTAGATGGAATTACGCCAGGGAATCTTTCTTGGAATACGCGATGGATAAATTAACGTTGATACATAACTTAGATTTATCGACGGACAGTACCATCCACCTTTTAATTAGTGGGATTGGTAGCAGGTCGTTAAGGGAAATAGCAACTTCGCTTAAAAATGATTCAGTTGACCATTTCCTAGAAACAATGCATCAAATCACAGCGGCATCGAAGGACGGCGACAGAAAACCGTTACAGACTCCAAAAGCCTTCAAATCCAAGGATGCACCAACCAGTTGTGGATCCTGTGGCAAACAAGGGCACCTGCAAAAGGACTGTAGGAAGTCCTCCACTTTTTGCGCATATTGCAAAACACCGGGTCATCTGCGTGCAGATTGCTTCAAGCTAAGAAGAAAGGAACAAGCGACCACGTCACCACAGTCAACTCCAGTAGCAGCCGTAGAATCAGCGGAGGTCACCTTGGAAGACAACGACTCGATCGCTTTAGTTTTGCCGGATAACGGTAGGAATCTTATAATAGATGAGGCACTCGCGAAAATAACAAGGTTAAATAACAACCATTGTTCTTTGCTCGCACTTGTTGACACCGGTAGTCCGATTTCTTTTGTCAAGCGAGATATATACAAGACGTTTCTGGAACATTCCGCTAAACATTTGTCTCCTTCAGGTTTTTCTTACAAGGCTTTAAATAATAAACCGATACAAGTTTCGGGTTTGACAAAAACGACAATAATATTAGAGCAACTACCTTATTTGCAACAATCAAGGATCGTCGTATCAATCGAGACAGCCGAGGTCAGAAGCCCCATCTCCTTCGAGTCAGGGTCAATCACAGCATTCGGCGATATCGGCTGCACCATCTACACACGCCGTCTCGATGTTGGCATCACAAATTCCGGAGTTCGGAGGCCAAGAAGACGAAAACGTGGACCTATGGGTTAAACGTGTCGAGCAAGTATCACGCATTCACGGCGCACACGAGGATATTACGTTCCTTGCATCGACGACAAGGTTAGTCAAAACGGCCCGACGCTGGTACAATCTGGGCTCGGGTTCAATGTTAGAGTCCTGGACAGGCTTCTGGGAAGCCATTCTTAAAAGATTTACTAGAAAAGTCTTATACCATCTGGCCATGCAAAAAATCGAGGCCCGTAGATGGAATTACGCCAGGGAATCTTTCTTGGAATACGCGATGGATAAATTAACGTTGATACATAACTTAGATTTATCGACGGACAGTACCATCCACCTTTTAATTAGTGGGATTGGTAGCAGGTCGTTAAGGGAAATAGCAACTTCGCTTAAAAATGATTCAGTTGACCATTTCCTAGAAACTCGCGTCATATATCTAGTCTTCCTACACGGTTATTCAACACGTGTATCGGCCTTAGCAGCCATTAAGACTGAATAAAACAGTGATTAATAAAGTAACGTATAAATACTGTTCGTTATTCATTTAAACAAAAGCCAATAAGCTTACAGATATAAAATATCAGAAGCAGGATTCACTACATTCTCAAAGTATACCAGAATGGATCCTCTCGGGTTTGATAAAATGTCTACGGAGAAACTGAAAGCGGAAACACGCCCCTACAGACTTCCTTCTACAGACGATCGAAGTCAGATGATCGAACAGCTCTTGGCGCATTACGAGAGTAACAACCCGCCAGTGGATCTACTTAATCAAAGACAAGCCTCTCAGGCTCAGAAGGAGCATGCAGGAGTTGCGATGAACGCGTTGGCGACCGCGATTACCACCCAGATGCAGCAAATGCAGCAGGCGATGCTACAACAGCATCTACAGCAGCAGGAGCTGCTCCGTCAAATGCTACAACCCCTTACGAGAAATCAACAGCAGGATCGGCCGAGCCAAGGACCGTTGTATCAATCGAGACCGCCGAGATCAGAAGCCCCATTACCGTCGAGTCAGGGTCAATCACACCATTCAGCGATAACGGCTGCACCGTCTACACACGCCGTCTCGATGTTGGCATCACAAATTCCGGAGTTCGGAAGCCAAGAAGACGAAAACGTGGA